TTTATTTACAATATTTTCTAAATCTGGTATATCTGCCTGGTGCTCAATATTAATTCTTTTAACCTCTTCACTTACTGTGGCTAGTGGTTTCTAATTAATAATATGACTATTGATTAATTATTATCATTATTAATTCAAAAGGTCCCATCACTAGACATAGGTATAAATATTCATAACAATAAATAGATATATTCTATTAAAATTTCTTAAAACTCCTATTACTTATTTTAATGTCATTTTTACCAAGATAATTTTGTAAATAATTTGAGCATTTACTATAGTGAGTATATAACCAATATATATATTTTAAACATAAAATATTTAAATTTATAAGTATACATTATATTTATATTATACCTTAATTTTGTATTAATCTAGTTTGAGTAGATATATTAAATATTATTTCAAATAACTTCAAGAGAAAATAAAACTTCAATCATATAAATTCTGAATAATTGAAGTTATATTTCTTTTGGCATCACCATTATTAATTAATATGCTTTAAGAAAGTACAGAGTAATATATAGAATGTTCATAGTCAGTTATTTAAAACAAAGATGTTTGTGAATCTTTGTTAGGGACTTTCAAAATTAAGTAGATAAAAATAAAATTTAGAATTATGAATGTCAAATTAAACAGTGCATTTGGTAATTCATATTTGGGTGTTATCAAACGAAACCCAGAAATTGAGAGTTTTCTGAAATTAATTTTACAGATCAAACCCCGAAAAATATAATTTAACACACCATATAATATATGTTATGCTTAATTTAAATATATCAGAAATCAGAGCCGGCAAAAATTGAAATTGCAGGTTTTCACTTGACGACACCTGTTTATATAGTCTAAAATGCAATTAACAATAAAATGTGGCAGATTAAAATTAAATCGGATTAAAATGAAATTTTTTTATTTTTTTAGGAAAATTTAAAATTTTTTGGGAGACATTTTTAGGGTTAGGGTTAGTGTTAGGGTTAGGGTTTAGAGTTAGTTTTATTAATAAAAGAGTATAAGTGGGTTTTATAAGCTTTAAAGATGAGCAAGAAAGGTCCCCAGTTTCATTTTAATCCGATTTCATTATAATCTGCGACAATAAATGTGATTATCCGGCAGCTTATTATGATTGTGCTGCCAAAATAACTCGAGTTATTTACGTCATCTCAAATAACTTCGTTATTTGGCAGTTTATGTAATCACTGCCAAAACTCGAGTCATTTAGAAGCACAATCGTCATAAGATACCGGATAATTCCGTTATTGTATGCTACGCTAGCCAATAACTCCTAATGAATTATTTTACAAATAATTCGAGTTATTGGCTGCTTCATATCCAATAACTATATATTATCATTTGTTTTCGCATTAATAAGACCGACTCTTTCCGGGACTGATCCATCCCTACTGATATTATATGGCAAAGAATTTTGTAGACATTTTAGCCTATTAAAGCTGTTAAATACTATATGTATTGCATTATTACTGATACAATGCTACCGCAGTACTGCATTAATATTATCCACAACTTGAGCCTAGCCATAACTCTTCAATAACTAAGGCTTAATGATTTTAAAAAGCCAATTCAGTTTGCAGTTGATGGCTTGGCTCCATTATGTAAAGATAGAATTGACAACAAATCCATTTTTGGTTAGTGCAATCCCGACCCTATAAAAATTTTTCAAAAAATGTATCCCGATTTTCTCCAGAATATCATTCCATCATTATTCCAGAAAATGCTTATTTTTCGGAACAAACTATATACAAATTCCTGGCCATTTCTATATGAATTAAATCTGGGTAAGATTCAGCTTGTAATCTTTTGTACTTTAATAATTAGAAGCCTAATTTTATCCGGTACTCGGAATTTATCAGAATTCCATGGAAATGACCAGGAATCTATACATGGTTTGTTCGGGAAAATGAGCATTTTCCAGAACAATAATAGAACAATGGTCTGGAGAAAGTTGGGATACGTTTTTTGAAATTTTTTATAGGGAAACTTATCGATTCTTTAAGCTTCTGTTGTAATACCACGTCACATTAACCTTGTAGCATTTATAATTAAACTTATTTTTATCGGCATTCTTCAATGTATAATTTTAAATTTCGATGTACGTATGTATTACAATTTATATAATTATTATATAATAAAAAATTTTACCTATATAAAAAAAAACCTCCGGGCGGCCGGGTCTAAAATTTTTTCAAATGTTATGTAAACCAGATAAATTTATTTGTATCGCCTAATTTAAATAGTACTAAAATTGTTCATATTAGATTACTAGCTTATATTGAAATTTAACACAGTATTATTTTTGAACTAAAGTTGAGATTTAAACATCTAGTTTAATTTTAAAAATAAAAATTTAATCTATTTGTCCTGGCAGTGACAGTAACCAGGTTTTATTTAGATTTCTATTTTAGGGTAGAGGTCATAATATATAGCGATATATAGTATATAAAAGAGAATTGATATTTCCACACCCCTGTAAATGTATTTTAAATAATTTTCTGATTTTTTTTAAACTTCAATCGAAGATATATCAACAATCTTCTAACCAAATTCGATGAACCTTTTTTCTTTTAATTGTAGAAATCACCAGAAGTCGAATAAGAAAAGTTCATCGAATTTGGTCTGGTGGGTGTCGAGATGTCTTCGATCAAAGTTTAAAAACAATTTTCAACGCAGCTCCTATTTGATAGATGTTCAAATTTTTACAAAAACTTTGATTGAAGATATCTTGGCACCCACTGACCAAATTCGATAAACTCTTTTTTCTTTTTATTTTAGAAATCACCAGAATTCGAATAAAAAAAAGCTCATCGAATTTAGTCAGGTGGGTGTTGAGATATCTTCGGTCAAAGTTTAAAAACAATCTTTAACGAAGCTTCTATTTGATAGACGTCCAAATTTTTACAAAATTTGATTGAATATATTTCGGCACCCACCTGACCAAAAATCACCAGAATTGAATAAAAAAAAGTTCGATCAAAGTTTAAAAATATTCTATTTAATAGACGTTCAAATTTTTCAAAGCTTTGGTCGAAGATATCTCGCCACCTGACCAAATTCAATGAGCTTTTTTTTATTCAACTTCTGGTGACTTCTACAATTAAGAAAAATAGTCATTGAATTTGGTTAGAAGGTTGTCAATATATCTTCGATTGAAGTTTAAAAAAAATTAGAAAATTATTAAAAAGTTAGCAATTTTGTTAGCTTGGGACTGTAATCACCGGTGACAAATTATTATGTACGTACGTACGTACGTACAAATAAATGATGCTCAAATAAATTTTATATAATGGGGCGATTCAGAATTAAGATTCAGGTTTCTGATAAGTAATTCATAAATCTTATTTATTTGATTTGTAAGCTTATTTATATAATAACGATAATTAATACTTTTTATGATCGTGAATTTTCTTTTGAAATTTGATATCTTTTACATAGATATTTTAAAATGCCTCATATTTCTGGTCGCCAATTACATATTAAAGACATAAATAGTATATTCCAATAGTGCTGTGTTCATAAAAATTCAAATAATTTCTCGAAAAAAAAAAATAGGTTGGTTAGTCATGGCAAAAAATGTAAAAAATGTCCAGATCACAAGATCAACGATCGCTCCCGGCCTCTTTGACACTCTTATAATAAACATATGTCGGAAGCAATCGTTGATCTCGTGATCTGTACATTTTTTTTGCCATGACTAACCTATCTAAAAGAAACGATGAACTGTGGTTTTTCTCAAGTTCTTTTCTTTAGTGATTTGTTTAAAAGTTTTTTGGTGAGGTATTATTAAATTTTAATAATTCAAAAATAAATGTGTAATATTACCAATATTACTTAAGAATTTTTTAAAAAAATTTAAGCGATAATTTGTAGTTCTTTATTAATTTATTACGATAATGATAACAATACATCATCAAAAAAAAGATTACTCATTTTAAATATACAGAAAATGAATTAAGGGAGAACATTTGGTATTAAACTTTAACGTTAATTTAAAATGAAAAAATATATATACAAATCGACAGGGATTATAATACATCAAATCCAAATCACTAGATTAAATTTATCCAGATATTCGTTCAAAAAAATTGAACCAATGAATATTCAGTTGATTATTTTTTGACCGGATCATCTCTTTTAGTATAGGTGACTCCGTGAATAAAAAGAATTTTTTTAATATATTAATTGATTTTTAGAGTAGGATTACTTATACTACGTAAAAGAACCCTTAGTTGTAACTAAATTTAATACGATACGTCCTAATGTTTCGAATTTCTCCTGCAACCTTAATCATGAATTGTTGATATCAAGGATATAGTCAAAACTGTCGATATGTTAATAATATGACCAAGATTACCAACCCATTTTTCAAATTTTCTTTATTTGGAAGTGTGCCTAAAAACGAAATGGCTAAAATTAGGGTTAGAACTAGTTTGAGGTTGAGGTTATGCAAATACGCATTACAGGATTAGACTCCGTTTTCTGTATTACGTATTTTTCGTTTCGTTATCTCTTACAATTTGATTGGTTAATCAATGTAGCCTCCTGGATTAGGAAAGTTAAAATAATATTAGTCTTTACCGAACTCTATATTTGTTAGTGAAATTTGGTTTGGGTGGATAGTCCTTTTTGGAGCTTTCAATGTAGAGCACTACCAATACTACGTACCGTATCTTATCGCAAAATAAACCTTATGATCATTTAACAATAGATTCACAAAGTTTATTGTAATTTTTATACAAAGGTGATTTTATGTTATTGACTAATCTCAGTAATAGATGTTAATTACACGTTAAACAAATTGTTTCATTTTTTTGTTTATAACGACTCGCATTTCCAGCTTTTTTCATTAGTTTTTTCATCAGCTCCATTTTTCCTTCCTCATTCTTGGCTGTGCCAGAAAATTTTACGATAACCCTTGTAAATAAGTCGCGCTGGTCGTATTTTACGCATAACATAACCATTCCCACCTTCTTATATAAGTTTTAATTATGCGTGCAATCTTCTACGTTCTTATCATTTCTTTTCTCATAGCAGTTGTTTCATCATTTCCTACCGGTGCTGGCACATGTCTCTCGAATCAAACGCTTATCGAAAGTGTTGCAAAATCGCCTATGGGCAAACTCAACGCACTGGGCTATAATTTTACACTTAATTTAAAGAATAGCCATTACGTTCCAGGTGGTAAAGCTGTTCTTACTATTACTGGCAAAATACCTTTCAAGGGTCTTTTATTATATGCTTTGGACATTAAAAAAAATCATGTTGGTTCGTGGACTGTTCCGAAGGATTACAAATTATTGAATTTAACAGATTGTGTCGGTGATCCAAATGCAACTCTTACACATAATTGTATGTATGGGTAATGTTTTTTTTTTCTCTTTTATGTATACTTTTTTTTTTTTTTTTTTTTACATATAAATTTTCCAAAAATTTTTATAGCTCCAGCTTTAAAGCCGGTCGGTTCTAAATTCGTTTGGAAAGCACCAACTAATGATGTTGGGCCAATCAGTTTTGTTGGTTCAGTCGTCGCTAATCATGTGAAGGGCTTCCAAATTGTAAAGTCACAAAGCTTTGCAGTTGCCGGAAGCAATTTCACTGATCCAGCAAACACTGCGCCAACAAATACTGCCATAACAAATCCTTACGCTAACACCATTCAACCTTCTGCACCTACCGATTCACCTACCAGTAATGGTGGAGATTCAACTACCAGTAATAGCAGTGATCCAAGTAGTCCTAATAGTGCTTCTATACCAACATCCCTATCTGATGCTTCTTCTTTAATGAGTGGAACTTCGTTGTTGGCAAAATTAAGCTTTGTTGCCGCTTTAGTAATTTTATATGCCTAAATGTGTTATGAAACAAACGATCCTGATTTTTATTATTTATTAGCATAAAATATTCATAATTTCCAATATAATTTTATTAATTTTTTTATAGCCAAGAAAACACTTGTACTGTGCATTTATAATAAAAAATGAGGGTGGGAAATATTGTTTAATGCGAATTCAATTCTATTTGTGCAATTAGCTTTACATAATAAGTAATTCAGACTTTACGTCTCGACTTAGATATTGCAAACCATCATTTGTATATAACACATTAGGGGGTTTCAAAGTTAACAAATAAGTGACGCATTTCGAAAATAAATAGGATTTTTTCAATAGTATTTTTACTATGCTGAATTATAAATCGGAAAAATAAAATGAGATTCTCTGATTTTAACTTTGAAACCCCTCATTATCGTTATTTATATATATAATTTTATTCCATTCAATATGATCGATCGAGATCTAAAAAAATAAACATTTTTTCAAACGTTTACCGTATATTATTGTACATCTTTGCCGTAAAGTTACATTACTCACATAGAAATTTCTCGATTTCCATTTTCAAAAATTTTCGATGTAAAAGAGTGCACCCTTAGCTCTTGTTTAACCTTATACGTTTCAAGTTTCAGAGAAGAGATGAAGAAAAATGCATAAATAGGGTAGTATATGAATTTACGGCTATTTGACGCTTTGTGGTTTTTTTATTATTTTCACATTAACTTACAAAAAATCTTTGTTTTCGAATTAACTCACAAAAATATTTGCCATGTATAACTTCCACAACACAGGTAGAACAGCAAACCTTTTTTAGCGGGTCCCTATCATTTCCAAAATCACTTCCCCCTGACACAAACACTCCGACAGATGAATCATTTCCTCGACGCACTAATTTCCCCCGACAATTATTTCCCAACTTGATGATTATTTTGATTCTAAATCAACTTTATAATTTATATGTGCGAAAAACTTATTTATTAATTTCTTGTATCGATACGTATTAGTGGATTTAAAATAAAAATCAATTATTCTTTTTTGAGTACGGATCTCCTTTTTTATTGGTTTTGCCTTTACTCACATTTCCTTATATACTGAACGTCAAAAAATTTTACCGCGCTAAATGCGCTATTTCGTTATGTGCGCTAGTACCATATGCGCATGCCCCAACCCTTTATTTATCGTATTTGGGTTGTATGTTCGTCGGCTTTTGATTACATAATTTCAGAAATTATGTAATGTTTCCATAATTAGATGATGCATTCTTATAAAGATTTTATCGTGTTTACTAAATATATGCTAAATCTTGTTGGTTTTATTTTCTAGCGTATATACTGTACTCACTTTCGGCTTAATTTTTGTAGCCCTTTTGAAGTTGCAATTTTGTTGTTCTTGGAGCCAGCCACCTCTAAAGCCACATTTTTGGGGTCAATGTGGCTTTTGGTGCAATTGACTTCAGGTGTTGTGGATGTGTCATCGTCTACGGTGCGTTTTTGCTGTTCTTGGCGTCTTCTTATCGTTATTGGTGGATTATTGTTTGTTTTGAAATATTTATTAGTGTTGCAGTTTTAGTTCGTCATTTATTTTGTTTAATGTCTCTATCTAAATACTTATGCTTATGTCACCACAGTAGTTAGAATACAAGGACCAATACCGAACTAACATAACCCTATTTAAATCACACAATTACAGTAATTCAACTTTCATGACAAATTACTATACAAATCAAGATAAGTCTATTACAAAGTTAACATGACCTTATCTAAATTACTTATTATATATAGCGAATAAGTATAGTGCCTTTTTTACAGCAAAACCACTATATAAATCATGATAAGCCTATTACAAAACTAATATAACCCTATCTAATTCACTTATACAACCATGTTAGTCTATAAGTACAAATAAATATATAAGAACTATAAATAAACATTAAACAATTTCTCAAAACTATTAATATAAAACTCTAGAATTATTTTATAATTCATAATATAAAATTAATAAAAATCCTTCCCTTAATATTTGGCAGTTGTCGGCCATTATGTTTTTTGTGTAATATTTTATATTAAAAAAAAAAATTAGTGACATCTTAGGCTTACCTTTTAAGAAATTCTTTAAAAAATCTTCACCACCACCTCCCCTACCCACCCACCCTTAAAACTTGGGCATTTCATGAAACCTCAATCAGATCGGAGATTTAAAACTCCGATCAAATAGCAAGATCACGTGACTTTGCTCTTTCATATTTCCACAAAATAGACAAAATTCAAATTTCATCTAATTGGAGTTTGAAATTTTGTTAAGTGAAAAAGTCACATGACTTTCATGTTTTTGAAGTCCCATAAAATTGGGACAGTGACACAAAATTGAGGTCATGTGATTCGCATATATAGACGATTGAAAAAAAATTAAAAAATTAAAAAAAAAGAAACATAAAGAAATTAAAAAAAAAAATGATAAAAAAGTTAAATTAAATAAAAAAACCATTAAATTAAATAAATAAAAAAAAGTTAAAAAACTGTTAAAGAAAAAAGTTAAAGAAAAAAGAGTTAAATTAAAGAAAAAATTTTAATAAAGAAAAGAAAAAAGTTAAATTAAAAAAAAATCAAATTAACAAGAAAAAAAGCTAAATTAAAGAAAAAAACTATTAAATTAAAGTAAAAAAAAAAAAATTAAATTAAAAAAAAAGAGTTTTTCTAAATATCTCTGGCCAGAGATATATAACTTAAATATCTCTGACCTATTAACCAATCAAAATATCAGAAAATCATGTGATTAAATCATGTGACAACACTGCACTAAATGCAATATTTCCGAAATCAGATCAGAAAATCAAATCAGAACTATAATTTATTTGAAAATTTTGACCCGTAAATTAAACAAAATACAAAGATTATAAAGTTTTTATCCTTAATAACCTAACATAAAAACGAACATGGTCTAACCAACCATTGCTTACAAAAATTTTTTTTTTTTTTTTTTTTAATATTGAGGTGACCACTTAGGCCCCTGGCACTTTATTAGTTCAAACGGGTGGGCCG